CCCTTTATCCTACATACATAAAAGAGTGAGTTTCCAGGTTACTGTTCATAAGCCGAGCCAAGTAAGCCTTTTTTTTATTCAGTATCCTACATAGGCTTTATGGCCCGACTCGTCTAAGCCGTTGTTGGTTTTTTTTTTTTGGTCCGAGCCATATGGCTTTATGTCTCGTATCAGCTCGGCTAAACCGTTATTTATTTATTTATTTTTTTTCGTTTTACGTTTGATTAGTTTTTGTTACTGTTTACAAGCCAAATGGCTCGGCTCGGCTCGGCTCCTCTAGGCTAAGCCATTTTTTTTAATGTTTGATTCAATATTTTATGTTACAAATATTAGTTTTAAGCGGCTTAAAATTGGTTGGAAATGTTAAAGTACGGCCATGATAAATATATGATCGATAAATTTTAAATATCAAAATAATTTTACATTAATTGTGAAATGTAAAGTCGTGATTATTTATGTTTCTTTTCAATCTCAACCTCATTCCAATATCCTTTTTTGGAACTTTATTTTCCTACAATTTTTCGTTTGATTCGATATTTCACAATATGAATATCCATTTGAATCGATTTCATTTTTAAAAAAAAAAAAACTTAAAATGTGATAATAATAATAATAAATATATTGTCGATTAAGTTTAAATATAAAAATTATCTTAAATTATTAAACGTAAAATCATAATCGTTAATTTTTCTTTTCTACCCCATCATCAACCCCCATACTCACACCAATTTCTCTCAATTTCATTTTTCTTCAGTTCTTACGTTTGGTTCGATATTTTACACTAAAAATGTTCATTTTCAGCTATTTAAAATTTATTCAAGAGCTTAAAAGGCGACCATGATAAATATATGATTGATAAAGTTTAAATAACAAAAATTATTTTGCATGAATTATTAAACGTAAAATCATGCTTTTCAATTTTCCTTTGAAATCTTGAAATGAGGCTATAATAAATATATGAGAATTATTGCTATCTTTGTTTATAATTTACTCGCTTCCAAATTATATTAGCTGAAGTAAATTAGAATTATATTTTTCTTTCAATTATTATGTCGAAAACAAATTAAGGATTTTCTAATCAGAAATTTATTTTTTATTTTTTCATTAAAGGAAAAATCACTTACTACTCTGAAATTATCTTCTTTTTGTCATGTAGTGAGGTTAATAATCTCTTGTGCTTGTTATTTGGAAGCATGTTACTAGATTTATTAGGGTTTAGACTATAGAGATATGTGATATTGATAAATATTTTGGATATACGCTTCTTAGATTTGATATTATTAATGTGACTATATTTTAATAATTGAAGAATGTTGTGGTAATAGTTTCAAAGTGATTACATGTTTGATTATCCGTGCTTCCAGTTACTGCTTTGACCCACGAGATTATGGTAAATCTCTTGAAATTTATGCTTTGATTTTTATGGTTGTAGGCTTTCTTAATTTAGTGATTTGCCTAACTTTATTGGGTCGGCTAAGAATGGTAAATTTATGGTGTCAAAATGGATATTGAAGGAACTCGATGTTTTTCAGAAGAATCCTCCTACATCATACAGTGCTGGTAGACAAACATTTTCTATGAAGTGGATTATTTTGATTTTTTTAAATGAATTTAATGTACAGTATCATTAGAACATGCTGAAAAGATATTCAACAGAACTGATGAAGTTAGGTGATCGTTTGTCATTCTTTTTGCCTCTATGATAGAAGTTTACGTTGTGTTGTGATTTTAATACTGATAGAGACCATTGATTTGTCCTAAATTCTGCATTGTGTTATCATTAATTAATTAGTCTTGACTACATATGTCTTGCATAGGGTCTTGGTAAAGAAATTAAATACTGGTGCAACTGATACATGTAATTGGAGATTCTATGAGCACGAGATGAATGAGATAATTGGTATGTACATACACATAAAATAACACCGATAATTGGTATGTACATACACATACTTTTACATACATTTATACCTGAACATGTATACACCCACCCCACCCTCCTCCTTGGCCTAAACCCCTTGCAACGTCCAAAATCAGAAGACATGAAAACATGAAAATTAAAAGTTATGTACCAAATATGAGCAAAACTTATTGAATTAGAAATGTAAAAGCGTTTAGGGATCTCAATTTGAGTTTTATGTACAAAACTCAAAAAGGTACTTAAATTTGGTTCGGATTACCAAAGGGTAGAATCTAGCACTCGAGCGGGAAAATCGAGTGCTTGAGTGAGACTTGTTCTGTAGCTCTAGAAACTCTATTCAAGAGGATTGTGGTTTACTCCTTAATTTTGTGTCTCTGTATACTAAAACCCTAGTACATTATAGGAGAGCTTGAGGAGATCAAAATTCACAATTTCACACCTAGAGTTCGATATTTTGAAGAAGAAGAAAAATAAATGGGAATTTTTGAAGTTCATATTTGAAAATTCTACGACCTCTTTTCTTCTATTTCTCACTCCCAATTATGTCAAGCTCAACTCTTATTTATATGATTACTTGAAATATTTGTAATTAAACTTTCAATAATTTCGCTAGTTGTACATTTTTGGATGACATTATGGATGACATTGTGTGATGTGTGAAAAATTGTGCCATTGATTTGAACAAGTGTTGTTAAAATCAATTGCCCAAGTGTTGCCACTTCAAACAATGTCATCCCTATTGTCAAACTTAATGTACCTGTAACAAGATTGAGTTTACAATTGCTATTACGATAACATAAACCACACTTTTGAAGATTTTCAATTCTTCTCTTTTGATTACAAATATGAGTTTTTGATTGATCATTTATTACTGAATTTACCAATATTCACTCAAAATTTTGCATAATTCGATAAAGACTAGATATTATTGATTTTTATAGCTAGATACATATCCTTATGAGATCGACACTCTACTCAAACTTAATCACTTATTCACGATATCGTGCACTTGCAATTTTCAAGTGATTAAATTTTTGGTGCCGGTATCATGAATTTGTTATGTCTAGTAAGATTTAATTATTTATTGCATTAATTCATTCTTGAAACATTCAACTTAAAGACAGAACACACTTCAATCAGCAAAAAGAGAATAAGAAAAAAACACAAAAAAATAAATCGTCAGTGATAACTAATGCTGTGTGATATAAATGATTTATTACGATGACAAGCCAAACAAAGGTAATTAGCTTGATGTCTAACACTATGCTAGCTCGACCACGACTACGCTAGTCCGACCATCACTATAATACAGCGACTATAGTAGATTGACTACCGCTATATTATCCTGAATTTCATTATGCTAGACAACTCTTGCTATGATAGATCGATCATCATGACTTTCAATTGTCTGAACATCTTTTTTACTTGATCAATAATTGTTTGACGGCTATCATTGATCCTACTAACTATTTAGTGGGTGGAAATTGTCTACTCAAGCTGTGGGTAAAAGCTATCGGTGGATGGACATGCTACATTAGACACGTGGATAATAATCGTCTGGCAGTTATACGACATCAAACACTATAAATACTCCAAAGGCGTGCCAGATATTGGGGTCTGATTTTTCTCAACATATTTTCTCTTTATTTTCTTAAGTCATTTCGTTAAAGACCTTAGTACTAATTCAAAAGTTGGAGGTACAACGAGAGAGAAAACCTTCTTTTTCCAGGTGTTCAATTTCTCATCGGAACAACGGAAGCTTCCTTGCTCCGCTAAGGAAGTCCAAAGTTCATTTCAATAATATTTCATTGGCTTCATCTGTGGAAAACCACTTAACATTTAAGCTATGTCAAGAAGACGAACTAGGAGTGATACATTCTTGGTCAGAAATATGATGGAGTCAAAATCTGTCTCTAGGGGTCAAGACCCACCGTTGCCTCTGTATGTGATGCAGAGTCAATTTAGCATTCTGGAGACTCGGTAGCCATGATAACTCTTTTGCAAAGACAAACTCAAAGATAGGACATCCTATCCTAAAACTTGTTGGTGGTTACGCGAGAACAACCACCTCAAAATATGGTAGATTTGAACCTAAAATGGAGGAAATAATGGCCCAAAAGATAGATGATGTGTTGTCAAAAAGAAAGGATAGACGCAAACAAGTGATTTTGGAAGAAGACCTCTTAGCACCCGAGATCATGGTAGTCCCTCTACCAAAAATTTTAAACAACCGATGATAGAGGTATATGACGGAGTCACAGACAAGCTCGACCATCTACGGACCTTCGTTGATTTAATGAGACTATATATAGCCCCAGATGCAATGATATGTCGATTCTTTCCTTCAGTACTAATGATAGAGGCTAGGGACTTGGCAGAAACTCTGGCACCTCGGTCTATCAGAACCTTTGATGAACTCTCTATGAGCTTTTGCTCCCAATTTTTTTAGTAGCAAAATAAAGAGAAAGACTGCCATTGGTTTGATGCAGGTTGTCTAGGAGAAGTATGAGCCCTAGCAAGATTACTTTACCAGATTTAGTCAAGCTACACTTGGGATAAAGGACTTTCAAACACTACACCAGAAAAGGCCTTTTGCAGCGGCCAAAAAGCGCTGCAAAAGGCCTTTTGCAACGTTTTATCATATGTTGCAAAGTCCAGTGTTGCCAAGAGGGAAGGGATACGGCAATGTTTAAAAAACGTTGCGAAAGAGTCTTTAGCAATGTTTTTTAAATGTTTTTAAACGTTGCGAAAGAGTCTACAACAACGTTTAAAAAATGTTGCTAAAGACTCTTTCGCAACGTTTAAAAAACGCTGCCGTATACTCTTTCGCAACGTTTTTTCAACATTGCCGTAGACCCCCCCCCCCC